AGGGAGGGAAGGAGAAAGAGGGAGGGAAGGAGAGAAAGAGGGAGGGTGAGAGGGAGGGAGGGAAGGAGAAAGAGGGAGGGAAGGAGAGAGAGAGGGAGGGAAGGAGAGAGGGAGGAAGCAGAGAGGGAGGGAAGGAGAGAGAGGGAGGGAAGGAGAGAGAGAGGGAGGGAAGGAGAGAGAGGGAGGGAAGGAGAGAGAGGGAGGGAAGCAGAGAGAGGGAGGGAAGGAGAGGGAGAGGGAGGGCAGAGGGAGAGAGGGAGGGAAGGAGAGGGAGAGAGGGAGGGAAGGAGAGGGAGAGGGAGGGAGGGAAGAGAGGGAGAGAGGGAGGGAAGGAGAGGGAGAGAGGGAGAGGGAGAGAGGGAAGGAGAGGGAGAGAGGGAAGGAGGGAGGAGAGGGAGGGAAGGAGAGAGAGGGAAGGAGAGGGAGGGAAGGAGAGAGAGGGAAGCAGAGAGAGGGAAGGAGAGAGAGGGAAGGAGAGAGGGAGGGAGGAGAGAGAGAGAGGGAAGGAGAGAGGGAGAGAGGGAGGGAAGGAGAGGGAGAGAGGGAAGGAGAGTGAGAGAGGGAAGGAGAGGGAGAGAGGGAAGGAGAGGGAGAGAGAGGGAAGGAGAGAGGGGAGTGGAAGGAGAGAGGGAGGGAGAGGGAGGGAGGGAAGGAGAGGGAGGGAAGGAGAGAGAAGGAAGGAGAGGGAGGGAAGGAGAGAGAGGGAAGGAGAGAGAGGGAGGGCGGAGAGGGAGGGAAGGAGAGAGAGGGATGAGAGAGAGGGAGGGAGGGTAGGAGGGAGGGAGAGAGAGAGAGAGGCAGGGAGAGAGAGGGAGGGAGGGAGGGAGAGAGAGAGGGAGGGAGAGAGAGAGCAGGAGGAGAGAGGGGGCGAGAGGGAAAGAGGGAAGGAGAGGGACGGAGGGAGGGAGGGAGGGAGAGAGGGAGGGGGGGAAAGAGGGGGAGAGAGAGAGGGGTAGAGGAAGGAGAAAGAGGGAGAGAAGGGAGAAAGAGGGAGAAGGAGAAAGAGGGAGGAAGGAGAAAAAGAGGGAGGGAAGGAGAGGGAGGGAGGGAAGGAGAGAGAGGGAGGGAAGGAGAGAGAGGGAGGGAAGGAGAGAGGGAGGGAAGGAGAGAGAGGGAGGGAAGGAGAGGGAGAGAGGAGGGAGGAAGGAGAGGGAGAGAGGGAGGGAAGGAGAGGGAGAGAGGGAGGGAAGGAGAGGGGAGAGAGGGAGGGAAGGAGAGGGAGAGAGGAGGAAGGGGAGAGGGAGAGAGGGAGGCGAGAGGGAGAGAGGGAGGAAGGGAGAGGGAGAGAGGGAAGGAAGGAGAGGGAGAGAGGGAGGGAAGGAGAGGGAGAGAGGGAGGGAAGGAGAGGGAGAGAGGGAGGGAAGGAGAGGGAGAGAGGGGAGGGAAGGGAGAGGGAGAGAGGGAGGAAGGGGAGAGGGAGAGAGGAGGGGGGGAGAGGGAGAGAGGGAGGGAAGGAGAGAGAGGGAGGGCGAGAGGGAGAGAGGAGGGAAGGAGAGGGAGAGAGGGAGGGAAGGAGAGGGAGAGAGTGGGAAGTGAGAGGGAGAGAGGGAAGGAGAGGGAGAGAGGGAAGGGAGAGGAGGGAAGGAGAGGGAGGGAAGGAGAGAGAGGGCGAGAGAGAGGAGGGAGGAGAGAGGGAGGGGGAAAGAGGGGGAGAGAGAGAGGTAGAGAAGGAGAAAGAGGGAGAGAAGGAGAAAGAGGGAGGGAAGGAGAAAGAGGGAGGGAAGGAGAGGGAGGGAGGGAGGGAGAAAGAGGGAGGGAAGGAGAGAGAGAGGGAGGGAAGGAGAGAGGGAGGGAAGGAGAGAGGGAGGGAAGGAGAGAGAGGGAGGGAAGGAGAGAGAGAGGGAGGGAAGGAGAGAGAGGGAGGGAAGCAGAGAGAGGGAGGGAAGGAGAGAGAGGGAGGGAAGGAGAGAGAGAGGGAGGGAAGGAGAGGGAGAGAGGGAGGGAAGGAGAGGGAGAGAGAGAGGGAGGGAAGGAGAGGGAGAGAGGGAGGGAAGGAGAGAGAGGGAGGGAAGGAGAGGGAGAGAGGGAGGGAAGGAGAGGGAGAGAGGGAAGGAGAGGGAGAGAGGGAAGGAGAGGGAGAGAGGGAAGGAGAGAGGGAGGGAAGGAGAGAGAGGGAAGGAGAGGGAGGGAAGGAGAGAGAGAGGGAAGCAGAGAGAGGGAAGGAGAGAGAGGGAAGGAGAGAGGGAGGGAAGGAGAGGGAGAGAGGGAGGGAAGGAGAGGGGAGAGAGGGAAGAGAGTGGGAGAGAGGGAGGGAGGGAGAGGGAGAGAGGGAAGGAGAGAGGGAGGGAAGGAGAGAGGGAGGGAAGGAGAGGGAGGGAGGGAAGGAGAGGGAGGGAAGGAGAGAGAGGGAAGGAGAGAGGGAGGGAAGGATAGGAGGAAAGGAGAGAGAGGGAAGGAGAGAGAGGCAAGGAGAGAGAGGGGAAGGAGAGAGAGGCAAGGAGAGAGAGGGAAGAGAGAGAGCAAGGAGAGAGGGAAGGAGAGAGAGTAATGAGAGGAGTGTAAATGATATATATGTAAATGATATGACATGTACCACACATACTTTTTTCACATTCAATCCTTCTGTGAGGTAAGGAGAGAGAGGGAAGGAGAGAGAGGGAAGGAGAGAGAGGGAAGGGGAGAGACGGAAGGAGGGAAGACAAGTCATGCAAGTGCAGCACAAGGGCTGGTTTGTACACGTATTTCCAAGCTGTCTCTGAGAGGGCCTGGAAATACTGCCACCAGTAGCAACGAGCACACCCTGGTCCAGAGACCTTGGTTTCTGAACACTGCTCTCCAACACAGAAGCCAGAGCTCCTTGGGGAAGGAGTTATGGACTCCTAGCCTTTGTGGGGACAGAGAGAAAGAGAGTACTCTGCAGGGCGCCAGCCTGAGGAGCGCTGAGTTCTGCGGCAGCATCTGGGTGAGGAGATATTAACAGCCTCACTGGGCCATGACCCAGGACACTGAACGGCCGGATGGCCACAGGGATAATAGGCAAAGAAATAGGAGAAAAGGGGCAGGTCTTCTCTATAGGAAAATTCTAACCAATGAAATAGAAGGAAGGGGGAGAGGACGTCCCCACAGGAAGAAGTGCTGCAGGGAAGATCCACCAACGGGTGCAGAGATCTGGGCAACGTTCACGAAGTGTGGTCTTTTCAGTCTCGCGAATCTCCCCCAGCATGACAGATTACACAGGGCTCCTCTCAGTGGAGACTCCTGGCAGCCACCCCTTAGCCAAGTGATCAAGGTTACGGCATCAGTGGTGAAATACGCCCACCTGGGCACCTGGGTGTGGCATCAGGGTCCGTCACTCCTGGGGCATTCCCCCCAGATGCGTTACCTCCACAGAACCACAGGCCAGGCAGATCCTCCTGAGGAACCTATAAATAACCGGCTAGTTCTTATCCGCCACTGCCAAGAGTGATGAGGAAGTTCAAAAAGCTGTCACTGACGGCAGGCACTACCGAGACAGGATGAGTGAATGCAAATGGGATCCTGGAACAGAAAGGAGCATCTGCTGTGGAGGAAACCTGGAGAACCAGAACCAGAAACCAGAACCCAGGTTGTGGCAAAAGTTTTGAAAGTGTATTCATGATTACGTAAGACAGGGACAGGCTGGACGCGGTGGCTCACGCCTGTAATCCCAGCACTTTGGGAGGCCGAGGCAGGCGGATCATGAGGTCAGGAGTTCGAGACCATCCTGGCCAACATGGCGAAACCCCATCTCTACTAAAAATACAAAAATTAGCAGGGCGTGCTGGCAAGCGCCTGCCTGTAATCCCAGCTACTTGGGAGGCTGAGGCAGGCGAACTGCTTGAACCCAGGAGGAGGAGGTTGCGGTGAGCCAAGATCGTGCCACCGCACTCCAGCCTGGTGACAGAGCAAGACTCCATCTCAAAAAAAAAAAAAAAAAGAAAAGACAGGAACATCAGGGGAAGCAGGCTGAAGGGCACACAGACTCTCTTACACTATCGGTGCAATTCTTAAGTCTAAAATTATTTCAAAATAAAAAGTTGGGGAAAACAGCTAATTGGAGAGAAGGGGAGATACTGAGACAGCACAGTAACATCTCACATCTCATTTACTGGCAAAAATACACTCGGTCAGACATTGTCATGATTCCTCTCCCATAGGGCAGGGCGACAGTGGCATCTGCTGGCTGTGGGGCGCAGGGCCCTGCTTCCTATGGTAGGCTGGTGGCCCAGGGCTGGGAGTGGAACCAGGCACAAAAGCCTTTGCTGGCTGCAAATTTAGGTAGTAGCTCTGGTGACAGCCTTCAAACTCACGCTGGATACTGCACGCTTGGACCAGACACGGTGGGAGGATCCCGAGGATGACAGCCGCCTCACTTCCAGAGGAGCTCGGCCAGGTCTTCTGCCCAATGCTCCCCGCTCTGTAGCTTCCCTCAAGGGAGCCCGCGACACCGCTCTCCTCTCCTCCCCGACTGAACAAGCTGAAGAGGGCATTGATACACGGGCGCTCCGGGCGGACAGGTTTCGCTCACAGGTCTCCCTCGCCTACTCCTCCGGTAGTTGCAGGCTGGGCGACAGCCCTGGGTGAGCATCTGGGGCTGAGGTTCCGCCTGTGCAACACAACGCTTGGGGCCCATTGGCTCACGTATGTTTTCCTGCCGGGTCTAGTGTTCGAGGTTCGGCCCCTGATCCCGGGAGGCTGGCGGGCCTGGCCGAGGAGAGCGGTCTTCCGTGGTGGAGCCAAGACAGATGCCTTGTCCCCCTGGCCGAGGAGAGCGGTCTTCCCCACGGAGCCACACAGATGCCTTGTCCCCCGGGCCGAGGAGAGCGGCTCCTCCCCGCCGAGCCGCACAGATGCCTTGTCCATGATGTGCCTGTAGCTTGTCAGCCCCCAGGTGGAGAAGCACCTGCCCACTATTCCCACTGTGCCCACGGGCTTGAGGCACAGTCTGCACATTGCTAGCCAGCTGCTCCTTCCCTGATGACGGTGCGCTTTCGTCTACTCTGACCACCCCACGGGCACACGCTGGGAGCAGAAGCTCCGAGTCACCTCTCCAGCCCCAGAATACCCAGGAAATGGCTCTCATCCAGGACGCTGGGCTCACTCATGTCCACGTCCCAGATGTCACTGAGGCAGCTGTGGGGGGACTCTGCCCCCAGGCCCCCTTCTCCTAGCCCGGAGTCCTCTCTGTGACCTGTTGTGGGGAACTGCTTGGGGCTCAGCATGGCCTGGATGGTCCACCTGCCCCCGCTGTGAGGCCTGGTCCACAGGGGTGGGAGTGAGGCAGCCGGGAAGCTCTCCACGGGTCGTGCGTATGTCCACACTGTGTGTCATGCGCTTGTGGGGTGCTCCTACTGCCTCTACCACCTCTGGGGGACCCTGGAGGCAGTGGAGCTCCTAACCTCAGCTGCGCTGTCTTGCCGCACACCAGAGATGCCTCTGCTTGGAGCTCCAGCTTTTGCTGTGGAGCAGAAGTCCCTGGGGATGGGAGCTGTGTCCTGAGGGCTGGGGGCCTGCAGTGCCCTCCTCAGGTGCCAAGCAGCGGTGTCCTTGGACAGGGCTGGGGCTGCTGGACTCCCACTCCTTCTAGAATGAACTCCCCTGCAGAGAACTTTTCTTGGCCTGAGGCTATGCCTGGGCACACTTGGGAGGCAGGAACTAGATCCTGCTCTTGAGTATTCCAGGTCCTGGACCCACACAAGGACGATGCCTTATCCACAATGTGCCCGGAGAACGTGCCCCAGGGGACCTGCAAGATGGAGCCGCCGTCCCCTCGTACCTCCTCCTCGCCACTGCCCCTCCTGAGTCGAGGGTGAAGACGGAGCTGCTGCCCACTCCTGAGCTGAGGGTGGGGATCACCTCCTCCTCCTCCCATTTTCATGCAGGGAGCATCTCCCAGGAACAACAGTGCCTGTGGCCCATGGCCGCGGCCCACTGCAGGAGACAGCTGGCTCTCTTTGACAGGGTTTGTGGGTGAGGATTACCTAGTGCCAAGGCAAGAGACTGAAGGCACAAACTGTTTCAGTATAATAAAGAAAATAGTTAGAATAAGAATAGTCATAACACATATTAGATATAGAGATGATCATGTGGACAATTATCAATCAATATTATAAACATTATTAATCATCGCTTTAATATTACTTCTTGTTGCATTACTAATATAACCTGGGAATAACCAAGCAGCATAGGGTCAGGTGCTGAAGGGACATTGTGAGAAGTGACAAAGAAGACAAGAGGTGAGCCATCTGTCACGCCCGCATAAGGGCGCTTTGAGGCCTTGGTCAAGTGGTAACGCCAGTGTCTGGGAAGGCAATTCGGGCATTTAGCAGACCGTGAAAGGAGTCTCTTCTGGAGGAGTTGGGGAACACTTGCCCACTCACAGCTTCTTGGTGGGAAGGCTGGATATTATCCAGGCCTGCCCAATGCCAGTCATCCAGAGGCCTAAACCTCCCTGTGGTGCTAAGTGCCTTCGACGGTCATGCTCCTTGTGCACTTTCATGTTCCTCCCATACTCCTGGTTCCTCTTGGAAGTTCGTAGGACAGCAGTAGAAGAAGAAAGGGAAAGTCTTAAATTCTTTGATCTTCTTATAAGTGCAGAGAAGAAAACGCTGACGTATGTCTTCCCTCTCTACTCGCTACCTAAGAGGGAAGGGCCCCCCGTGTCCTATGATCACGTGACTTGCTTCACCTTGTCAATCACTTCTAGAAGATCCACCTCTTACCCTGCCTCCTTGTTCTTGTATGCAGTAAATATCAGCGTGCCCAGCCGCCAGGGCCACTACCGGTCTCCACGCCTTAGTGGTAGTGGTCCCCTCTGGTCCAGCTTGCTTTCTCTTATCTCTTTGTCTTGTGTCTTTATTTCTTTTACAATCTCATCTCCACACGCGGGAGAACACTCCACTAAGCCCCATAGGGCTGGACCCTATAGGTGTGGGTCAGAGGTGAGGAGGTGGAGCGTCTTCAAGCAGCCCCATGGGGCTGCCACTGCTCTCTCCCCAAGAACCAGCCCACCCTGCCCCCAGAGCCCCACAGACACAACCGACCTCAAACTCTACTGTAGGGAACCCCCGCTGGCAAGGAAAGCCTTCCAGGAGCATATGCCCCGCCCAGTCCTGACCTCCTTCCCTGCTGGGAGCAACCAGAGTCGCCTCCCCAGAGTGGACACCTGTGTGCTGGGAACCGAGTGAGGGATGGCGCTACGGCCGGGCGCACGGAGCAGCAGAAGGTGCACTCGGAGCAGTTCCCAACGCACCTACAGGGTTTCTCCCTTTTCTGCAAGCCTCTTCCCGCAAGCGGGAGGACGGCCAGCCGTGCCAGATGCCAGGTCCCCTGTGGGGCACTGTGTCTGCAGACTCCTGCCTCAGCAACAGCTCAGGCCACAGTCCACACGAGCCCCCAGGCCCTGTCCCATGCGTGACGGGAGAGGTGATCTTGACGGTCAGCAGTGGAGGGGGTGGCAGAACCACACATGTGCAGACTGGGACACAGAGGTGTGCAGGAGAAGCTGGGGCTCACCTCACAGGGAGGGTGCGCCAGCAAATTTAATTCTCATCTCAAATGGGGCTGAGTTCTCTAAGCAGAATTAGCAGGCCAGGAAGGGGGTGTGGCCAGCTTGTGCAGGGTCACCACACAGGGTGGGAGGGAAAAGGCCATCCCTGTGGACAGATGGCAGCCCCACCTGTCAGCTTCTTTTTTTTGACCACGGTTCCCTTCTTTGCGCCAGTAGAGCCACAGGTGTTGGTCTCGCCCGTCCCTCACCTGGGCTGCTCCTTGTGTGCGAAGGTTGGGCAGGTGAGGCTTCAGTTCCTGCTGGGGTCCATGGCTCCGCAGGTCTGGCCTGCGCAGGGGCTTCTCAGGCCAGGTGGCTCAGGTGGCTCTGGGCGCCCAGGGCCTCAGACGGAGACGCAGATCACTGAGGCAGCCTCTGGCATCCATGTTCCAGCTGGCTCTGCCCTCGTCCCATCTCCTGTCACCACGCCCTCCCACGCCTTGATCAATCCCGTGGTGCTCCCAGCTGGCGGCCTCTGTCTCAGGCTGCAGGGAAGGCAGAGGGTTGAGGGCACCCCGTGGCCCACGGCGGCCACGGCTCTTGTCTGTCTTTACAGAGATGTGACGGCGAAGGAGGGTGGGGTGTGGGGTCTGTTGGCCAGTGGGTGCCCAGACTCCAGCAACACATTGCAGCATTGGAGGGGCTTACTGAGGTGCTGGGGAGCCCTCCAGGACCATCCAGGGAGCCTCCTTGAATGAAGGTTACCATCCAGGCGGCTCATTGCCAGCCTTCATCTTGTCACGGGTCACGCTCTGTTGTTTCTGAAAATCTTCCTCCAGACACCGGTGGCAACCACTGTGAGACCAAGAGAGAGGAGAGGACCTTAAGGCCAGGCTGCACAGAAGCAGTTCTCACTCCTGCTTGGCAGGGAATGCTGCACATCCCTGAACTGGATGGGGACTGTCCGGGGAGGAGGGATTCAGGGTCCAGCAGCCAAGGCCTGACTTCCCATAGCCCCCGAGAGTCAGCAGAGCCAGTTCTAGTTCTGGCGCATCGACGCGGACGGCAGCTTGCGCGGCACATGCTGCCCTTCTCACTCTTCCTCCACGGACGGCGCAGAAACCAAGTCCCCCTGGGTCTTCAGGATGGAGACTCGACATCCCGCTTTGTCCCTGCTCAGGTCCCACTGGAGGAAAAGGGTCCAATCTTAATGGGGCTGGAAGAAAAGAAACGAGAGTGCAGAGTCAGCGATCACATTCGCTCGGCCGGTGTGAGGTGAGGGACGAGGACGAGGACGAGGGGCTCTGTGGAGAGGAAGATCCTTGCCCCCAGGGAAGCTCCTCTGGGACCTGATGAAGGGTGGGGACTCGAGGACCGAGGTGAACGATGATGTGACGTCCTACTTGGCTCCTCTTCCAGCTCTTGGAAGGAGGCAGACATTTGCTGGCGGGTGCCACGCAGCAGCAGCAGCAGCTGCACCTGTAGATTCCAGCCACCTGGCCTAGGCCACCCCAGCCTGGCAGGCAGACCCAGCCCTCCTGGCTGAATCTCCAGCACCACCCAAGCCTGTACTCAGCAGCACCCAAAAAGAATGAGGATGAATCACAGAACCACTGCCCGCTCCGCAGGGCCTGCTGCCCAGTGCCACCGAAGCAGAAAGACCACCTAGAGAGGGTCCTGCACATTTCTGCTACACTGGGTTGGGTGGGGGTGGACCCTGTGCTCTCCTTCCTCTCAGGAAAGGTGAGCACCTTGCAGCCTCTACAGAAGACTCCAGTCCTGACCCCCAGGAGGGACTTCTGGTGCTGAAGGACGCGGTGGCTTTCAATGACCCTTTGGGGGATGCTGGGTCATCGCGCTCTGGTTCATCAAAAGCAGGGGGCAGCTCCGGCAGGGCAGGGGCCAGGTGTTCGGGAAGCATGACTCCTGCCGGCCCTGCCAATGAAATACTCACCACGTTAGGGGTACAAGATGGACTATGACCAGAGAATGAAAGCTATGGAGAAAAAATACAACAAAATAAAACTGAAACGGAAAGGAGGATGGGAGACACGGAAGGAAAGAAAGAGAAAAAGAGTTGCAGTAGTGTTTGGCAAGAAATACAGGCGATTACAGACTGAAGACAGAGCTGTTGGCAGGGAGGAGAGGGCTCCACGACTGCCGAGGAGGATGCTGCCCAAATCCCCCGGGCTGGGAGGGGTGCCGCGCACCCCCAGGAACACACTAAGGGACCCTGCACCATGCAGACTCGGCGGTGCTGGTCGGCCCTACACCCAGCGTGTCCCAGCAGCACAAGGCCAGCTCTCCCGGGACTCCTCCTCCTGAAGTGAAACTCATCACAGACCGTTACAGGAATGTTCAAGTAGAGCACCAATGGGGTAATAATAATGGTGAAAGTTGTATTGAAAAACATTCCAATTGCCAGCAACAAAAAGCAGGCCTGTGACAATACTGTGGTCTCAGTCCCACCACAGGCAGCAAAGTACAACCAGCACCTGAGTAGACAACGCACACACAGCCCCACCTGGGCCAAAGTGGCTCAACCCAACCTAACCCCACCTGCAGCGTCCAAAGAGCCGTTTCACCCAGACTCTAAGAAATAACACCTGACCTATTCTTTCCTTTGGAGACAGGATCTCAGTCAGTCACCCAGTCTGGAGTGCAGTGATGTGATCGTGGCTCACTGCAGCCTCAACCTCCCAGGCTCAGGTGATCCTCCCACCTCAGCCCCCTGAGTAACTGAGATTATAGGCACATGCCACCATGCCCAGCTATTTTTAAGAATTTTTTTCTAGAGACAGGGTCTTATTTTGTTGCCCAGGCTGGTCTCGAAATCCTGGCTCAAGCGATCCTCCCATCTAGGCTCCAATTACTTAGACTTACAGGCATGAGCCACCACGCCCAGCCCTCACATTTTTCTAGTATTTAATACAAACAAACGTCCTTAGGTTAAGATGCAAAATGAAACAGACATTTGGTTTAGGCATCTGTTTAAGATCCTCGTTTCAAATAGCTGGTTTGGAGAAGGTATCATTTGGCATCTGGTCGGGATACCTGTTTAGGAAGCAGCCAATGGGGTGAACTATTTGTAATATCTAGTTTGGAGACATCTATTAGGAGACACTAGTTTAGGGGGATAACTTGTTAATTATCTTATTTAAAGCACTATTTAAATATTCTGTTTGGGAGCCTGTTTAGAGCATCGTTTGTGAGAGAGACCATTAAAGAGACATCCATCAAAGAGAGACTATCTAAAAGACATCTACCTTGGAGATTTCTGAGCAGCCTGTCCCAAGAACCCACTTAAAAACCCCTTCTGGGGGCGCTGCTGGACGCCCTGGTGTGCTAGTGGATGCTTCCCCACGTGGCCTGGGTGTCCACTGGGGCCTCAAAGGCTGTGCCCTGGAGTAACTCGTTCTTCAGGATGATGATTCTCACAGGCGCAGCGAGCGCCCAGCAGAAGGGCTTGTGTGTCACTGCTCTTGCGAGGGGCAGGGCAGGCCTAGGGTGGGATGGGATGACACAGCGGTCTTCGAAGGTGACTGCTGTCCAGAGGGACCTGCTCTCTCCTGGCAAGTGCAGAGCATCTGTGGGCTCTTCCTCAGGCTGGGACCAGGCCATGCTAACCAGAGGGGCATCCTAATGCCAGCCTCCTGTGCTCTCCGGAAGGACGAGGCTGAAGGTTGGGGCCACTGGCCACTTCATTCAGCCCCCAGTGGGAGTAGGTCACTTCAGTGAGCTCCACTGCACAGACTTAGCACAAAGTCTCACTTGGGCTGGGGGTTGGGAGCCAGGCCCCAGGACTAATCACAACGGAGTGAACATTTCACCTTCAGACATCACTGAACCAAGCCCCACATGGGGAGAACAAGCTCTGCCCTGAACACCTGCAGGCATCCACGGGAGGGCCGGGACTCTGCTATGCTCCCCTCACCCTGACTTGGGGAGCACTAAGCCTGTTATGTGCATGGACAGCACCCTGACCCCACACCTCATGGAGCCAGGACCCTGAGAAAGAGCCAGACAGCCTCCCACCCTGCGTGTGGCTCCCAACCTAACTGCACTTCAATGGGTGCTTCTGATCTGGGAATTTGAATCTCAGACCAGCGTAAGGTGAACCTGCAGGGATCAAAGGCTTCCACACAGTCTAGGCTTCCCGCGATGAGAGGGAACCCGAGGCCGTTGGCTCCAGATGGGGAACTGAGGCCACAAGAGGAGTGGCTCCTCTGAGGTTGCATGGCTGGGCACTGGCAGGGCATTCTAGACCAGGGCTCCTGTCTCCCAGTCCAGAGCCCTTGCAGCCACCACTCCTGAAGCCTTTTTTTTCTGCTCAACTCCACCTAGTCTTCAGGTGGCCGCCTCCTGCTGCTGCTGCTGGGAGCTAAGTCTGCTGCCCCAGCGGCCTGGAGCTGAGTGGCTCAGTGGAGTGGCTCCTCTCTGATCTTAACAAGCAAAAACCCCAAAACTGCATTTGTTTTACCTTTTCCTCCAGTTCCTTTATTTGTCTCTTCTGAGCTTCTATTCTTCTTCTAACTCTTTAATTTCTCTGCAAGGTTAAAAGGAAAAGTCTTTCTAACAGTCACAGTATTTGGGAACCTAAATCTTCCAAGATTTTCATGCATTTCCTTGGTAACAAATGGTGGCAGAGCAACTGGCATGGCCATGGGCTGTGGCTCCTGACGAGGACACCAGCCTTTGCTGCGTTGTTCCAGCAGGAAAGCAGAGGGCCTTCCCCATGCCATGCTCCCTGTGGTGGGAATACATATGGTCCGATTCTGCAACTTCAACTGACACAACGCCAGACATCCAGGGAATGTGGGAATGCATTCCCGGTCCCCCCAGATGCCACTGCAGCAGAGTAAGGGGCCGCCAGAGGGTCACAGGAGAGCTGGGCACAGAATCTCCTGGTGAGGGGGATGCCAGTGCCTGGGGTCCCCACATCTGAGCTCAACCAGCTCCTCTGAAAAACAAAGGGGCTGCAGGTGAGGCTGGCCTACTCCTGAGCCCCCAGAGGCCAAAGGGGCCCAGGAGGCTAACAAGGAGCCAGCAGAGCACGCCCAACATTAGCCCACCGATGCCCACGGCCAGCTGGGACACAGGGCAATTTGTTTATGGAATTTAATTAAGCCTTTGCGTTAAAGTTTTCATAAGGAATACATCTCATAGTTTTCGCCTTCCTTTAGCCAACCTGGCTCATGGAGGAGCTGACTGTGTCCTGCATACATCTGTCGTCCAGTCTACAGGCTCCTCACCTCCCATTAGAGCAGAACTGACTCAACAGGCCTGAGGTCCCACAGTGCCCTGAGGCTGCTGCACGCCAGGCTGCTGGTCTCAGAGAACACTCCTTGCCATCAGGAAATGGTGGCCATGGAAAAGACACGGCAGCCAGGGTCCAAAAGAGGAGAACTGCCACCTAGAGGCCTCAACATGCCCAGGACATCAGGGCTGAGGAGGAGGCAGTTCAGCCCAGCCTCTGCCTGCCATTGACAGGCATGGCCATCAGGGGTGGCGGCCATCAGGGGTGTGGATCACAAGAGGGCGGCTAATAGGGGGTGTGGAGGCCATTCTTAGGGGCACATCAGCAGAAAGTGTGGCCATCCAAGGCTCTGTGTGGGAAGGCATGACAATTGGGGGTGGCCGCACACGGGGGTACGGCTACCAGGTGTAGCCATCAGAATATGTGTTACGAGGGTGTGGCCACCAGAGGGTGGGGCCACAGAGGGGTGCTGTTGGAGATGTGGCCACAGGATGCCCCCGCTCTGGTCGTGCAGCCCAGGGCCAGGTCTTACCTCCCAGTCCTACCACCGCCTCATGCACCTGAGCCAGCTGCAGCAGCCCGGGCGCGCCTCCCGCAGGATCTGCACCCGCTCGCGCAGCCTACTCATAACCTGGCGTTTCCACTGCTCCACGGCCACCTTGAGCTTCTCGCGCTCTTCCTCCGACAGCAGCTCAGCCACCTTGGCCCCGGCCTCCTGCTGGTGGGGCGCCACATAGCATGGCTTCAGCTCCAGGATGTGCTGGGGCAGAAGGGGAGATGCCTTAGTCCTTGCCTTCTCCCCAGAACAAACCTTTCAGGAAGGGTAACGGAGGCCGGGCCACCCTCCACCTGGGAGCGGCCAGGAGGATGCAACAGACAGAACCCAGTGCTGTGCGCCGGCCTGCAGAAGGACTGGGGCCCACGGACTCTCAGTCTGTGGAAGACTCCTAGAAGTGGTGAGACAGCTGGACCACAGCCGAAGAGAAGCCAGGACTCCTGAGCCTCAGGGTGGGAGGACTGAGCTGCAGTGAAGTGGGGAAGCCGAGGAGGTGGAGGCTGCAGTGGCCTGTGGGGCCACAGCAAGGCAGAGGGAGTTGAGCGTAGTCACCTGCTGCCTCCCAAATCCAAATCATAGACCCATGTAACCCATCCTGTGCTATGTTCAGCAGCCAAAATACATAATAACCCAGCAGCCAAAGCACACACCTTTTTCATAAATTCTGGGCTTGGGCAGTTTGCTCTGCATATTTCAAAGCTTTTCTTAGGCAAATTTTATTGACACGCTCTTTGTAAAAACAAATTCGCTAATTGCCAGAGGCTCTTTCTTCCCCAACCAAAATGTGTATCTTCAGAGACAGCAGAAATATTATAAAATGGAAAATACTTTTTTAAATATTACACTTATTGTTCTTGACGGCCACAAAATAACTGTTCCCAGCTGTCACAACCAGCCTGCACATCAACTCCACTTCTAGAGGAAAAAGAGCCTTTAGTGCTCAAGATGAGCCCAGCTTCAAAAATAAACCCTGGTCGACTGGGCCGACTTGAACTAACTCACAGTGGCTTCATTGCACCCGGTGGTGGGAGGTGCTCAATGAGGACCTCCGTGGGTGACATGAACTGTGGGCTGCCTGGATGAAACCTCCCTGCCTCGGCACGCCACACAGACCACGGCCCACTACACCCATGTCCAGAGAGGCAAAGCTGGCACCCAGCCCCTGCCGTAAAGAGCCGTCATTGCCCCAGGAGGAACCAGCTCTTCCCATCCTTGCCCCAGTGTCTCCCAGAAGCAGAGCAGGAAGTGCAAAAACCCAGTGCTCACAGGCCTGTGGGTCACCTGAGGGCACCTGAGTGACCAGAGCCACACCTCATGAACAACATAGGAGAGAACCAGGCAAGCTGCAGGGAAAGGGAAGGAAGTCAACAGCAACTCAGAAGCTCGAGCATCCCAATGAGGGGGCCTTCCTGTTGGAAGGAGAAAGAGGCCCCCAAATATCACAGGAAGCGGACCTAATTAGCAACACCCAAGAAGAGATACACTTCAGCATCACACAGGAGAGACTCCCAGCATCACACAGGAGGGACCCCCAGCATCACACAGGAGAGGCCCCCGCAGTGCATCACACAGGGAGAGACTCCCTCCCAGCATCACACAGAGACCCCCAGCATCACAGGGAGACTTCTCAGCATCACACAGAGAGACCCCACCAGCATCACAGGAGACCCCCAGCATCACACAGGAGAGACCTCCCCAGCATCACACAGGGAGAGACTCCTCCAGCATCACAGAGGGACAGGCCTCCCAGCATCACACAGCGAGACCCCAGCATCACACAGCTGGTGTGGAGAGACTCCCCCACCAGCATCACACAGGAAGAGACCCCCAGCATCACACAGAGAGACTCCTCAGTATCAACAGAGAGACCTCCCAGCATCAAGGCACAGGAGAGACTCCTCCAGCATCACAGAGGGACAGGCCTCCCCAGCATCACACAGCGAGACCCCCAGCATCAAATACACAGGAGACCCCCAGCATCACACAGGAAGAGACCGCCCAGCATCACACAGGAGAGACCCCACAGCATCACAGAGAGGCTCCCCTCAAGCATCACACACAGGAGACACCCCCACAGCATCACACAGGAGAGACTCTAGCATCACACACAGGAGAGACTCCCCCAGCATCACACAGGAGAGACCCCCAGCATCACGACAGGAGAGACTCCCCCAGCATCACAAGCAGGAAGAGACTCCCCCAGCATCACACAGAGAGGCTCCCCCAGCATCACACAGGAAGAGACTCCCAGCATCACAGGGAGAGACTCCCCCAGCATCATACAGGAGAGACTTCTCAGCATCACACAGGGAGAGATTCCTCCAGCATCACACAGGAGACTCCCCAGCACTCACACAGAGACCCCCAGCATCACACAGGAGGCTCCCCCAGCATCACACAGGAGACACACTTCAGCATCACACAGGGAGACTCCTCCCCCAGCATCACACAGGGAGACATTCCCCAGCATCACACAGGAGACTTCCAGCATCACACAGAGAGAGACTCCCAGCATCCCACAGGAGAGGCCTCCCCAGCACCACAGGTGAGACTCCCCTCAGCATCACAGGAGAGACCTCACAGCATCACACAGGAGATATTCCCCACAGCATCACACAGGAGAGACTCCCACTAGCATCACACAGGAGAAGCTCCTCAGACACAGGAGAGATTCTCTTAACATCACACAGAGAGACCTCTCAGCATCACACAGGAGAAGCTCCCAGCATCACAGAGGAGCGACTCCCAGCATCACAGAGGAGAGACTTCAGCATCACACAGGGAGAGATTCCCCCAGCATCACACAGGAGAGATTCCCCAGCATCACACAGGGAGAGATTCCCAGCATCACACAGGAGAGATTCCCCAGCATCACACAGGGAGATTCCCCAGCATCACACAGGAGAGAGACTCCCTCAGCATCACACAGGAGAGATTCCCAGCATCACACAGGGAGATTCCCCAGCATCACACAGGAGACTCCCAGCATCACACAGGGAGAGAGCCCCCAGCACTTCACAGGAGACTCCTCCAGCATCACACAGGAGAGATTCCTCCAGCATCACACAGAGACCCCCCACAGCATCACACAGAAGAGGCTCCCCCAGCATCACACAGGAAGAGACTCCCAGCATCACACAGGAGAGAGACTCCCTACAGCATCACAGCACAGGAGACTCCCCCAGCATCACAGAGGAGAGACCCCAGCATCACAGGAGAGATTCTCAGCATCACACAGGGAGAGATTCCCAGTACTCACAGGAGAGACCTCCCAGCATCACACACAGGAGAGATTCCTCCAGCATCACACAGGAGAGACTCCCAGCATCACACAGGAGAGACTTCAGCATCACACAGGAGAGACTCCCCCAGCATCACACAGGAAGAGACCCCCAGCATCACACGGGGAGAGGCTCCCCCAGCATCACACGGGAGAGATTCCCCAGCATCACACGGAGAGGCTCCCCCCAGCATCACACAGGAGACTCTACATCACACAGGAAGATACTCCCCTAGCATCACACAGGGAGAGACTCCCAGCATCACACAGGGAGACTTAAGCATCACCAAGAGGCCCTCCCAGCATCACACAGGAGAGACCCTACTGCCCAGTATCTCACAGGAAGATGCCCCTCCCACAGCATCTCACAGGAAGATGTCCCCAGTCCCTTCCAGAGTAGGGGCATTAATCCTGGTCCAAGCAACCATGTGCCCCCTGACTGGGATTTTGGGGCTGGAATGATCCGCTGAGCAGTTGGCCCCATCTGAGGCCTGAGAACACAGCTACTGGTGAGGTGCAGAGAGAGGTGGCCTCGCAGAAAGTTGAAGCAGTGCTGATTTGATCTTTCTGGAAATGTGTGCGGAGACTCACATCTCTAATCCCATGGGGTGTCCACAGATGTTGATCACAGGGACCATGGTAGGCAGTTGCTCTAGGCCAGGCCCCCACTCCTGGAGCTTTCTGTGCCTGTGATTCCCGCAGATTCCGGGTCAGTATCAGACAAAATCCTGCGCCATCCAAACCTCCAGTGGAGGGATTCTGGGCCTGGAGGCACTACCTAGACACTCTACAAAAGTGGGAATTATCTGTGAGCATTAGGTGGGAAAAGGTGGATGGCTGAGATGTCGCTGCCTGGGGGATTGGTGGGGCTATCCTGAGGTATAAATTTCTTTTCCTCTTTACATGTGCCTCACACACACCTCAAAGTAATGCTGAAAGAAAACATTGGAATATTTTTTTGTACAATCTTTTTTTTTTTTGTATGGCTGACAATTTGAAATATGCCATAAAACCTGGAGGCTAATAACCTCGTAAAATTACCCAAATTCTTCCAGGCCCTCAAAACAGTGTTTGGCATCAAAGAGCAACTATTGCTGGTGAAATATTTGCAATGTACCATTCTTCTGAGGAGGAAATAAAGGAAATATTTGTAATGGATGGCAAAGGGCTGGTTGCCTTCTTTATCAAGAACTCTGACCAAAAGGTAGGGATAGCATGAGAGAGAGGTGGGTGCTGGGTCACAAACAGACGTGGCGTGGAGTTGCATAGAAACGTGTTAAACTTTGAGCTCACTAGGAGACATGCCTGCTAGGACTGCACCAGGCAGCTGCACACCATGCGGTGGAAGTTTGGGGTGCAAGTTGTACCTACTATGGGGAGAAATATTCGACAGTTCCTAACAATGCCTTAAGTGTGCATAACCCTTTGGTCGATCCAAAGAATATTTCCTGCAGATAATTTCTATCTGTGTGTCGGGATGTCAGAAATGAATAGGAATTGCAATTTTGCTGGTGATATTAATGCATGGACACTACCTAAGTCCACCTGGGGACAAATATCCATGATGCTCACACCAAGTCGCCCTTGGGCTGGTGGGAAGCGCCCTGGCTGTGCACGGCCAGGTGAAAGGGTTGCAAGGCAGCTCGCTGGGGTTCTCAGGCTATCCATGAAAATGTACATGCACACACATATGGGGTGTAATCCAGGAAGGAAAAGAGAACCAGCAAGTGGGTCCCCTTTGTTGGTGGCATCTGGAGTCCAGGAGAACAGAAACGGGAAGCAAATGTCCTTTCCTACTGTGGAACGCCTTTCCCACTTACTTTCGGGCGGATGACCATCTCTCTGAAGATTTCTAGACAGCAAGCCTCAGATAAGCATGGGGACCCCACTTTTGCAAAAATACTATGCATATCCCCATCCTGCC